CATCCTCGCAAGTCACACAACCATAAGTACGCATATGTAAAGCATCAAATATGGAAAATTGGGCTAAAATACTAAATATAATCACTCGGGTCATTACAGATGAACAATGTTAGAGTAAGCATGTTGTTTCAAATATTTTGGTGGAAACAAGAATTTTATTGATCACTAGCACAAAACTTTACAATTGAATACCTCCTCTTTTCCTTACTCCACTTAACAACATATTTGATCTACTATGACTACATCATATCAATTGTACCAATTGTACTATTGCTTCTATTTAAATTAGACTTTCTATTCATGCTCTTTGATTTTGTGTTAATGATCTCCTACCTGGTATCTCATGTATCTTTCATTTGCATTCCTCCTTAATAGTATTAACAATCACGTGAGGTCTAGGTACTCTTTGATCCCAATGGGTACCATTCCTCACCCTCCATATGTGATACACTAGTGCTGCCAGTATCGAGATTGTTTCAAATATTTGGGGTGGTTATTCTGCTAAATGGATTGACTCGTCAGTAGAGAAGAAATATGTTATTTGGAATACCATCAAGAATGGAACTTTGTTGGAATATGTGGCTTTTGAAGGACATACTTAATAACTAGACTATGTAGACAACAATATGTTACGAATTATTCTAGATTTGTCTTAGCTTCCTTTCAACCCAGGTAGGGATTAGAATTTTTAATTCACGTTCAAGAAAAGAGGTTAGACACTAGGTTTATTGCGATAGAATCAGTCTTTCTCAACTTTAACCTCGAGGACAATATAATTATTAAGGTCGCAGGTATTGGTATGAACCAAAATAGCCAAGAGGACACGTTTGAAATTTTAGCAAATTACGGGTGGGACCGAGGCTGAAAATGGAGTAGGTGCACAGTGTATGTAGGGAACCAAGAGAATCATGAGATACATAATTTATTTATTGCATTTTAGAGTTAGGCTTGAGTACTTTGAATGTTCTTATATTTTCTCACCTCCCTTCTTCTGGTCTCTCCCTATATTTTTGAATTTGTGTCTTCTCATCCCTATTATACTTATTGTGTCCCTTTTACGTTCGTTCTTAGTAATCTTTCTTTTAGTTTTTAATATCCTTTGTAATTTTAGTTTGTAAGTTATTGAAATACATCTATCACATATTTGAGTTTGAATTGTGTTAATCTTTATTATTAGTTTGTTACAACTTGGCTCAGATAAATTGCAACAAACGCTTGCTGGACTCGGCTCAACTCGTCTAGACTCGGCCCGGTCTTTGGCTTAGAGCATGTTCAGTTGAACTTGACTAAGCTCAGTTAGTCTCGATTGGCGCTACAAGTTGGACTATAACTATATATATAGATCCTTACTATTTGTGTTACTCTATTTAAAATCATTTTAATTAAATTTTACTTTTTTACTTTCTCCATTTTATTTTATGTATCTTATTTTTCATTTTAGTTTGTTTCAAAAGAACGCCTCTTTTTATATTAAGTAACTCCTTAACTCCAACATACTACATGACATATTTAAGATCACAAGATTTAAGGATATTTTAGTATATTATATATATTTTAGTTTAAGACTACAAGATTTTAAAAGTCTTCATACTTTTCTTAACCTCTGTACCCAGTCAAACTACGACACATGAATTAAAATGGCGGGAATAATTGACTTTTAAATCATTAATAGAAAACCAAAAATATTCAATACAGTAAAGTCAATCGTGGTAAANGGTGGGTTGGTGAGGGTGGGGAAGGTTGAGAAGGAGTTTTGGAAAATGTTTTCCCTTCTCTTGAAAAGGAAAATATTTTCCTCCAATTTGAGGAAAATGAGTTCATAAAGAAAATATTTTCCAAAATATTTAAACCAACCAAATATGGGAAAATAAAAAATATTTTTCGGAAAATATTTTCCTTCATACCAAACACACCCCTAAAGTTGGACAAGAAAGTGGGATTAATACATCCATATATCCGTTGAAGAATCAAAACCCAAATGAAAAATAGAAAAGGGCCAAAATTATCCTAACTTATTGGAATGACTCAAAATATTCTTTTTTAACCTTTTAGGCTATAAATATTCTTAATATTTTCTTTGGGCTCAAATTTACCTATATGGCTAACGCACTTGACCTAGTCAATTTGTAGACTTTAACTTCGCCACAAAGTATTTTCTTAGCCTGCCATGTGTACTCTTTGTATTAATCAAAACCCACTGTGTATCTTTTAAAATATTCAACGATCCTAACTTGTTCTGCATCAAGATGATATCCTATTTATTTTTGCAGTCTCTGAACTTGTTAAAGGAGATTCTGCAAGGAAGATAGTTGGAATGATATGCAGAACTAACTTGTCACTTGTCAAAGTCTGATAATAACCCCGATATAATTGAGAGAATTTTGAAGGTTCACAACATGTAGAAAATACTAGACCAATTTAAAGAATATCGCGAATTGGTAGAAATCAAAGCCAACAAATTAATTAACTCTTGGAGAAATCTTGTTGCTTAGGCAATGGAAATGGGCTATTAAGATTCTATAGCACGACTGTTAAGTGCTCTTTTGGCATGAATGACTCTTTTAGCTTATGCACATCAGAAAAATACAATGTTCACAAGATTCTAAGGTATGGATTCTTTTAAAAGAAAAATATATTATGGAATTGAGTTTTTATAGCTTCTACAAGTGAAAGAGCACTTGAAGGGTAATCTTTGAGAAAAGTATTAATTATATATAGTGTGATTGTTGGCAGCCTTTGAAAAATATTCAAATTTTAGTTGGTCAGTTTGTAGGATTTGATTCATTTGCTGGAAAAATAGGTCTTTACTCAAACATTACATGACTCTATTTGCTCAATCCAAATTTTTTGCTTCCTTGCTTTGTGGTAATTTGCAAAGCATAAAAATCAGGTTGTGAGTGAATTGTTCTTCCGTGTTATCTACTTAAGTAAATATTTTTGCATAAAAATGTAAGTATGATAAACAAAATCGAAGAAAGAAGAGGAAGACGAAAATTTGCTTGATTGAAGAATAAAAAAATAGAGTTGCAGAACCCTAGTATCACTTATATTGAGGAAGAAGAAGGGGGTTGTTGGTTTGAATTAACTGGATAATGGGCCTGGTAAGGATTTGGGGGGAGAAATTCAAAAATAGTCAGATTTATAAGTGGTAATTGAAAAATAGTCACAATTTCAAAAATAATCAAAATTTAGTCACTTTTCATGTAAAGATAAATCTGAACGAAAATACTGTTCAAAATTCGAAAAATATTCCAGCATAATATACTGGAATTCCAGTATAATATACCGGCCCAACATAATATGTTGGAAGTTCATACACATGTGCTCCAATCTCCAGTATATTATGCTGGAACTTTTTACGTGTTGGAGTTCCAACATAATATGCTGGAAGTTCATACACATGTGCACCAATCTCCAGTATATTATGCTGGAACTTTTTACGTGTTGGAGTTCCAACATAATATGCTGGAAGTTCATACACATGTGCACCAATCTCCAGTATATTATGCTGGAACTTTTTACGTGTTGGAGTTCCAACATAATATGCTGGAAGTTCATACACATGTGCACCAATCTCCAGTATATTATGCTGGACCGGTCCGTGTTGCAGCAAAATAATGGTTATTTTTTAATGACTTTGCAAACGGTGGCTATTTTTGAATTACCAATCTGAAAACTGGCTAGCCCGTACTATTTTTATGAATTTGGTGGTAGGTTATTAGAACAAGTTAGGATCTTTTATTATTTTATAAAGATGCATATGTATTTTGATTTGACACAAATAATACACATGACAAGCTAAGAAAAATACTAGGTGGTAAAGTTAAAGACCAAAAATCAACCAAGTCAGATCTATTAGATATATAGGTTAAATTGGAACCCAAAAAATGTTAGGGGCATTTATAGCCTAAAATACCTCTAACATACTGAAAATGGGCTAAAAATGTGAGGGTTTTGGGCCATTTTTATTACGTTACGAGTATTTTTTGGCATTTTTCCGAATAAAAAAAAGAATCTTACGGAAATGTCCCAAATAAGTCTTAACTTACCAATCTCTAGCCATTAATCATAGATTTACCAAAACTAGCCAAGTACATATAAAAATTAAAAACTCAAATAAATAAGGATTCGTTCTCTCGAAGAATCACACACAAAGATCTCCTTCCATATTTTTAAGTGTGATCAGCAATATTAGACGCAAGATGGAAAGGAAATTTCATAGACGAGGTAACAAACAAGGTGATGAAATACAAAAAAATATATATATGCAAGATTCCAAAAAATTTAAGCAAAAATAGACTTTTTTCAATGGGTATGGTTAAAATTCATTAAAAACATATAGATGAGTCAATATACAAAATTTGAGGAAGATTGAGGGTGATTTGTTATCAAAATTCGTAGATAAAATCGAGTTCAAAAAATTCTTCTGCGATACATGTATCAATCATCTATCACACATGTATACATGGATATGCATGTGATATACATTTGATACAAATATGATACATATGCGATACACAAATGATACACAGTGTGATACACATATCATCATTTTCCATGTTCATTTTCTATTTCAAATTTTCAATTCAAACCACCTCAAAACTATTTTAAATCATCCAAAAACTGAGATTTAAACTCCTTAAGATTTATCCAATCTATTCCAATAACACCCACTCAAAAAAGTAAAAATTTATTTATTTTTGGCTATAAATAGCTAATTGGCTAATATTGGTATTTCATCCGTTTCAATTCAAATGTCACATTTTTCTTATTAGTCCGTTTCAAAAAAGAATGGCACATTTCTTTATTTAGAAATAATTTAACTTTAAACCTTTTATTTTATCCAATTTATCCTTAATGAAATGCTTTTATAGCCACACAAATATCATTGCCTTACTAAGCTTTTGCTTCTTAAACTTTTAGCACCACAAATACTTTATTACAAGTCAAAATACGTCATTAAAACAAAGTGAGTAATAATTTTTGCACTGCGAGGAAAACAAGAAAATGGAAACATAAAGAAAACAGGTGATTTCCCCTAAAAGGGCACCTCTAAAATAAAGAAAACAGGAAAGTTAACATCCCCATACCCCTTCCTGAACACCTGCCTGCTGCAACTACTCTTTCTTCCTCTGATTCTAGGGTTCTTTCTATTTGGCAAACCCATTTACTACTTACCCTTTAATGGATAGATACTCTGAATCAAACCATTTGTCGATTTATTGAGTCTCTTAGTCTACAATTCTTTGGATCCAACCATTCATTTAATGACAAATGATGTGGAGAATTTCTGGTCTCTACTAAATTTTAACTTCAGGTATTGGTTCATTATTTTTTCTATTTCTGTTTTTTTTTTCAAATCTATTTCTGTTATATATCCATATATAACTATGCAGTTAGTTAAATTTTTAGTGTATTTGTAAGCTTTTGGTAGCTCTGGATCTTAGGTATTTTGAGCCGCATTTTAACTTCCTGTTTGTTTAGTTCTTGAGTTTGTAATTGTTTTTTGTCTTTATTTTAGAGGGCATTTTTTTCTATAGGAAAATTAACTCCTAAATCATTTTAATTTTGAATTTTTTAATTGGCATTTCTTTTTACTAAAAAGGAGTATTCTTTCCCTATAGAAGAAATGAACATATTTTTTTAAATAAATAAAGAAATAGGAAAAGAAATATGGATTTAAGTTGTATACACCGGTAGTAGCTGGTTTTTAAGTGGCTAGATGTGTAAATATTATTTAGAACGTCAGTGTATAATAATTATACCAAGAAATAAGTATAAATAATAGATTTCGAACACAATAAAGCGAATGAGTTGTAGTAGAATTCCAATCTCGAACTCATAATGTTCAAATTCTGGATCCGACTCTAGTCATGTAATCAATGGACTAGGATAGTTCTGTTAGGATGGAAATCAAGTGATACTAGAAATTGGGGGGAAAGAGTTGGATGAATCATGAAATTTCTGATTGTAACTTTTATCTGTATATGTTTTGTTGTAAAGTTTCAATTATGTGGTAGAACTTTCAGGTTATAGAAAGTCCGGGGAAATAGTGGACCTAAACTTCCATATTTCTCCGAATTTGGAAAATCATAATAATGGGATTAGGTGAAAACAATAGTTTGATATTTGAAGAGATTTCAGTCCGCTTTTTTTCCCATGGCATCTAGAGACGAGTGTAACTTATGACATGGTCATGAGATTCTGCATTTATTTTGTAGTGAAGTTCCTTGGCACTTATTTGTGATGATATTGAAGAACATTGGTTTGCTTATGTTTCTTGAAAGAGAAAAAGAGGCATTTGGAACTATTATAGCCCTATTAAATTATTGCACCTGAAGGTGTGACCTAGTGGTCAATGAAGTAGATTGAGAATCATGAGGTCTCTGGTTCAAATTTCAGCGGAGGCAAAACACTAGATGGTTTCTTCTCATTTGTCCAAGCCTTGGTAGATAGAGTTATCCAATATTTGTGTTGGTGGGAGGTAGTAGGTACCCCGTGAAATTAGTTGAGGTGCACAAGCTGGTCCGAATACCGGTGTTATCAAAATAATGCTGCTATTATATTGTTGTACCTCTTTCTTTACAAATAAGATAAAAGTTATTTACAAATATGTATGCCATACACTATCTAAGGCAATTTCAGATTATTTGGGTGTTGCCTTAATCTCTCAATTAACTCGGTGGCTGAATCTATCATAGGTACTGGTACGTCATAATATTTATGTGACCAGCTCAATTGTCGTACCATCAGCAACATAAAGGTATCGATTGTGTGTCTCCATGTTGCCGGAGGGTTAGCAGAGGCATGGCTTGTGCGATGACCGCCACTCGTCTCAAGGGTACAGTACTGGACTTGTGAAAATTAATATGCTAGACTTTATCTTATTAGAGACATGGGAAGAGAATTTTGGACTTTAACTATGTGCCATCTGTTGTAAATGTACTCGTGTTCTTGGTGGCTTTCTGTTTTGTCCCCTAAAGAATGGCATCCAAGCTGTTGTTACAAAGTATTTTAGCAGACATAATTTAGCTGGCAGTTGTTGAGAGGTTGTACTGATTTTTGGTAGCCTATTCTCATTTTCTTCCTGGTAGTGGCCATTATATTATTCCTTCTGAATGAAGATGAGCAAGATGCCATGTTGTAGTTGGTTTTGCCTTGTGGTTTCTTTGTGTCACTGAAAGATCTTTATAATGCTGAAGTTCTGTCAAAATTTCAAGGGTAGTTTTTTTTTTTTATCGGTAAAATTTCAAGGGTAGTTTTACTTAAATTAATTGCATGAAATGACCACTTCCAAGATGCAACTTAATATTGCCCAACTCCTGCTTATGCATGTGCATTTGTATTCTATCCAGGCCCTTACTTGTTACATCTGATTGCAGGTTTGTTGAGCCATCTGCTGCTAGTCGTTGCTATCTGGTTGGCCAGCTATCAGAATGTAGCGGCTCTACATGTGCCACATAAAACAGGCGAAACTTCTTCCACACCTGAACTGGCTAGCCCTCCCAAAACTGGAATCTTTGAACCAATTGAGATACCGCCTGCTGTCATACCTCGTTATCCTTTCCCAGTGAAGCCATTGCCACCAATGTACCCTTCGTTTCCGAAGACATATGACCCTGTCTTGACTGGAAGATGCCCTGTAAATTTCTCTGTTATTTCAAGCATCACAGATAAGACAGCATCTGATTGTACTCGATCTTTGTCAACAGTTGTAGGAAATGTAATATGCTGTCCACAGTTCAATAGCTTACTCCACATATTCCAGGGATTTTACAGCAACCATTCTGATACTTTAGTTTTACAAAGTGCGGTAGCTGATGATTGCTTTAGAGATATCATCAGTATATTAGCTAGTAAAGGAGCAAACAGCTCAATTCCTGGCCTATGCTCTGTGAAGTCATCAAATCTAACTGGTGGGTCTTGCCCTGTGAAGGACCTTGGCACTTTCGAGAAAACAGTGAATACAAGCAAGTTGTTGGAGGCTTGCAGCACAGTTGATACTCTTAAAGAATGCTGTAGGCCTGTTTGCCAGCATGCTATTTCTGAGGCCGCGCTTCAGATCTCAGGAATAAAGACAAGTCTTGGTGGTAAGAACATAGTTGGAGTGCCTAGTGAAATTGATACACTTAATGACTGTAAAGGAGTGGTCTATTCATGGATTGCAAGAAAACTACGAATTGATGATGCCAATTCTGCATTTCGGTTGTTATCTTCCTGCAAAGTTAACAAAGGTTAGTTTTTGACACATCTGGTCCTGAACGTGTTTGTGAGATTTTTATTCTTCTAGAAGAACTCATGTTTCTCGTTCTGTTCTATTTGACTATGCTAGAGTTCCTCCAAAATTATTATGGTGAACCTGACTCTAATCTCATATTTATATTTTTGTCAACACGGGGTTAGGATGTTTGATTTTTGGCTACTCCAACTGAGACGCATTCAGTAGAAATTTTTCTATCGCCATAGGGGTTAAAATAACAGCCCATGACTTCTAATTGTTAGTGGAGCAAGTTTGCCTCAAGTATATTGTATGCCCCTGCCACACATCTAAATGTAATTGTGTATCCAAAACTGAACCAAGTAATACTTTTATGTTGTAATTGAATATATGTGATTTGAAATATATTACACAGGCTGGAATGATGTAGTTGTGGTCATGAAAGCATTTGAACAACTCAAACTTGTGGTCTTTATGAGAATGTTACGGCAAATGTTATTGCACTTAACGGCAAGGTTAAAGCTTTGGCTTAATTCATGGTTTTGACGCATGGTTAATGTTTCTGAATGGCTCTCTTTTTTTAAAGAAATTTTTAATTGTTGCATCATCATACATGTTAGCCTACCATTGAATAATGTGAATTGCCTTTAGTTTTGTTTCTGGAAATGATTTACTATACAGATTAGATGATTGTAATGTTAACCTTGCATGTTAGCGTTTGAGGATCAAATCTTCTGCCCTTTTTCTTTTGGGATGAAAATCAAATCTTCAGTCTTTCATGCTGATCCTGGTTAGGATGTTGCTTTAGGAGCCTATAGGACCTAGCTTTCGAGGGCTCAAGAATGATCTTTGTTTAGTAAGATCTGGTATCTTACTTGTGACTTGTTAGAGCAGTGCTTTCATCCTTTCCTATTCGAACTAAAATTGTGGCTTGAAAATCGCAACAATGACTGATAAAACAAATGTATATTTTCCATATTAACTGTGAAGGACATAGAGATTAGCAAAATTCATCGAGGTGAAGATGACTGAATTAACATCAGCTCCCCCATCTCTCCCCAAAGAAAAAAGAAAGAAAGAAAAAGCTACTGGTGACTAAAATATAAGTACTAAATTCCTTTTTACCATGTATATAAACAACTTGATTCCTTTCTACCACTGAAAAAAGGTACATTCCTTGTAACTGGAGAAGTAAAAGATTCACCTACGTAATTCTAGTTAGCCGTACAACTTATATAAGCAAGTGCTTATATTTGTCCTTCTTAATTCTTATGGTTTGTATTACAGTGTCTTGCAAAAGGCTCAATTACAATCTGATCCTGTTATAACTTTTGAATAAAAGTGGTTTTCCTTTTGCGCGCTTGGCTTCCAAGTTTCACTTACTCTGTAGAGATATGCCATTTTCGGCTACTTACAAGAAAACGTGACACTTTGCGCATCCTTAAAGTTAAACCCCCCAACAACCCCCAAAAAAAGAAATTAAAAAAAAAGGAAAAGAAAATTGCAATTCCTTAAATTGTTAACATCTGAGATTCAGAAGTTAGGAGCTATATTTCCTTGTCTGTTTAGAACATAGCTTTATTTTGGATTTTTTCTATTTGCCACAAGTTGGCCCTATTTTGCCAAATTTTTCTCCTCCATATGAAATTATCCAGTTTTTTCCTTAGAATTAAGCTCAAATAATATGAAATGAAGAAGCAGCTACCTTCGATGGATTAGAGTCGTATATGGTCCTAACTGGAAATTATGCTCCCAAGCACAGCTCCCAAAATTCCCTCTCTCTCCTACTTTCTAGGTTAGCAGAGTTCCCCTCCGGCATCCTTCGTGACCGGATTCCTTCCATATTCCCTTAATTCCTAAATTTCAGTGATCGCCTTACGTGTTCATTGAGTTTTATAACTTTAATTCCTTGAGATTTAGTTAATCCTCTGAGCATTGTTCAATAATGAAGGAGAATATCATTTTCTTCTCAATGGGATTCAAGTCTTATGAAATAGAAAGACGTTCAACCAAAGCCGATGAATGGTTCGAATGGACTGAAAGAGGAAGAAGCTTTATAAGAAGGACCGTCTTCAGTAAAAAGACAATGCTGTGGTTATGCGAGAATCTGAAAGAAATGTCAAAGGAGAAAGGTAATTTTGTCAAAATATGGAAAAGTAGAGACCGGTACTCAGAGACCTTCTGTGCAAGAAATTTCAACAAATATGGTCGCTACATTTCCATAATCAGGGTCCACAGCAGGGGGAGATCAGTCATCATTGTTCCAGAAGTGAACTTTAATTCAGGATGGTCCGAAATAGCAACAAAGATTGAGAGGTTCATTAATGGTGGGGAAAGAAGGAATGCATTCAATGCTCTTAGGGTGATTGAAGAGGGATTGATGTATTCAAGCACTGTCAGGAACCATAAATGGGCCAACATAGATATAAATGAAGCAGTAATTCAACAAGATGGTGGTATAATTCATATAACAGGAGGCCAAAAACACAATGAGGTTCTAGGCAGAAGTCTGGTGGGAGTCATATCAGAAGGAGATTCAGAAATGATAACGCTATCAGAAGTTCGAAGATGGACATCAAAGATCTGGATACAAGCTAATGGGATTAACATCTATGAAATGGGCCAGAATAGATTCCTGTTCGAATTCCCTTCGAAAATTGCTGCTAAAAATGTGCTGAAGAGTGAATGGTACTGGAAGAAAGAGAAAATAAAGCTCCAATGGTGGAACCCTATGGTGTGAACGATCCCTAAAAGCAAAGTAATAAATCAGACATGGATTAGGTTATTAGGGCTTCCCTTACATCTATGGTCTCCTAAAGTATTCAAAGAAGTGGGGGAAGTCTGTGGAGGATGGCTAGAGACAGAGGAGGAAACAAAGCTCAAGAACCATCTGAAATGGGCGAGAATCAAAGTGAGAGGGGATGGGTCGTCGACGCCTAAAACAGTGAAAATTGAAAGTGAAGGAAATGTCTTCGAGATTCCGGTATGGTGTGAGGCACCGGTGAGGTCGACTGAGGGGGAGAAGGAAGAAGACGAGTGGTGTGACCAACGGGTAAAAGGGAAGGGCTCTAACCCGTGGGTAAAAGAGTTTGACCTAATTTCAGGGGGTGGGGCTCGAGGTTTTAAACTTCAAAAGGGGCACGTGGGAAGTTCCAAAGTCTGTGACTTTAAAAGGTCATGTGACCAGTCACGTGAGGGGCATACAACAAATAAAGAGGCTGTGTTGAAAAAGAGTTTGGGCCCAGACTCTTTGGCCCAAGTTATTTCTGAAGAGAAATATTACTACAAGCCAAGCCCAAATTATAGACCTGACCCATTTAATGAAGAATTAAAAGCTCTACAATTTAGCCCAGTTAATGAGAAACAAAACTCTGCCTTGACGGAAAATACTAAAGGAAGCGCACACTGCTACGAACAAAATTCTGAATAAGAGGAGAAAGAGAAAAAGGAAGAAGACAGTGAAGAAGAATTTCAGTGCATCCGTCTACAGGAGAACAACAGTACATCCATTACAGAGGAAGATAAGGAAGACGAGAACTCTGAAAGTTATAACAGAATGATCATGCATGTAGCAGAAATTGACAGAACCATGGGCTGGGCAATTGAAGATGTCGAACCACTCAACCAACAGACCCTAGAGGAAGAGAATGACCTGGATTTCGAGGTATCCATATGGGTACATCAAAATATTATTAAATTGAGCAAGGAATTTGGGGTGGACTTCAGTGGGTGTGAGCGTGAAACAATGGAGCTATTTATGAAAGTAGATAACATGAGGCAGATCAACAGAGGGAAATAAGTGTCACAACCCATTCAGACACCAAAGAGAAAGGGAGCCAAGGAATTAAAAGCCTTGGAACTAGGGAGTAACTTCAGAAATAACTTGGGCCAATTAATTAATGATTGTAAATATCTTATCATGGAATGTGAGAGGGTTGAATAGAGTGAGGAAAAGGAGACTGATTAAAAGTTTGTTACTCAGTTGGAAGGCAGGGATAGTGTGTCTACAAGAATCAAAATTAGAGGGGGATATCAAGGAATTAGTGAGGGAGTTATGGGGCAGTAGATGGGTAAGATATGCTCAATTGGAAGCTAGTGGGACAAGAGGGGGAGTTATAGTTATGTGGGATGGTAAAGAATGAGAGGGGGAGGTGGTTGGTATTGGAGCCCATACTATCACTTGCAAATTCTCAGGAAAGACACAAGAGTATTCATTTCACATATCAGTAGTGTATGCTCCAAACGAGAGGAAAAAGAGGAAGTCTGGTGGGAGTTGGTAGGGGTAAGAGGTCTCTTTGAGGGGCCTTGGGTGGTCTGTGGAGATTTCAACACAGGGAGATACCCTTCAGAGAACAGAAATTGTTCCAGAATATCAAGAGCAATGATAGACTTCTCTAGCTTTATAAAAGACATGGAGCTGGTAGATATGCAACTAGCATGTGGAGAGTACACATGGAGGAAGGGAGATAAACATATAGCAGCAGCCAGATTGGACAGATTCTTGTTCTCATGTGATTGGAATGATAATTTCACCAATATAAAGCAACAATTGATGCAGACAGTGAGTTTAGATCACTCCCTTTAATGCTTCAATCAGGCTCCTGGGAACCACTCAAGGCATATTTCAATTTTGAGAATTGGTGGCTTCAAACTAAAGGGTTCATAAGCAGAATGGAAGAGTGGTGGAAGTCTTTCACTTGCCTAGGAAGACCTGACTTTATTTTGGCCTTTAAACTCAAATTCTTAAAAGCAAAACTTAAGGAATGGAGTAAATCAGTTGAAGGTAATCTAGCCAAGCAAAAATCAAGCATTCTCATTCAACTGGCAGACTTGGAGAAGGTACATGAACAAAGGGGTTTGAATGATAGGGAAATTCTATCTAAAACAGCTCTGTCCATGGAACTTGAGGAGATTGCAAACCGAGAGGAAATAGCTTGGAGGCAGAGATCCAGGGCCCTGTGGTTGAAAGAGGGAGATAGAAACACAATTTTTCCACAGAACAACAAATGCCCATAGGAGATACAACCATATTGACCAGTTGATGGTGGAAGGGGAAACCTTTCAAAGTCCAGGAGATATTAAAAGGGAAATCATCAGTTTCTATAAAAATCTATACACTGAAGAAGAGAACAGGTAAAGATACTGAGGGTGATTTTCATTCTATTTGAAGCAATATCTGGGCTACACATTAACTAGCAGAAAAGTTTCATCTACCTAGTTAATGAGAGTTAATGAGGTGCCAGAAATCCAAAGCTTGGCCAACATGCTGGGTGGGAAAGTAGGGGAGCTGCCAACTATATATCTGGGGATGCCTTTGGGTGCAAAAAGTAAGGCAAAAGGCATATGGAATAATGTGCTGGAGAAATGTGAGAAGAAACTAGCAAACTGGAAAAATCAATACCTGTCCATGGGGGGAAGATGGACTCTGATCAACTCAGTGCTTGATGCCATGCCTACATACATGATGTCCTTATTTCCAGCTCCAGTATATGTAGTGAAAAGAATTGATGCTATGAGAAGGAACTTTCTGTGGGAAGGCAACAGTGAGAAAAAGAAGTTTCATCTGGTGAAGTGGAATGATCTGACTACCAGCAAAAGGACTGGGGTCCTAGGAATCAAAAATTTGAAAGTGCAGAACCAATGTCTATTAATGAAATGGCTATGGAAACTTGCGGTAGAAGACCAAACATTGTGGATAGAGGTCATTAGGGAGAAGTATGGAAGAGAAGGTAACTGGACAACCAAGCCAGTGAGAAGTCCATATGGTGTCAGCTTATGGAGATCAATTAGAAACCTTTGGCCAAAAGTGATCAACAAATCAAAGTTCAAAGTAGGAAGTGGAAGTAAAGTATCCTTGTGGAATGATAACTGGCTAGGACAAAGAACCTTGAAGAGTCTCTTCCCTGACATTCATGAACTGAATCAGCAACAAGAAGCAGCTTTAGCAGAGGTTTGGACAGCCCAGGGATGGAACCTCACCTTCAGGAGAATGTTAAACGATTGGGAGATTGACAAATTCACTGAGTTCTATAGGGTATTGGAGCAGTTCAATGGAACCAATGCAAGCCAAGACCTTATCATGTGGCAAGGGAATGGGCAGGAAAAGTTCTCAGTTAGGAGTGCATACAAAGAATACAACATTTCTAACAATCAAATCGGATGTTGGCCATGGAAGATGATATGGAAAGTCAAAATTCCATACAAGGTCGCTTGCTTCACATGGTTATTGGCAAAAAATGCAGTCCTAACACAAGACAACCTAACAAAAAGAGGATTCCAATTGTGCTCTAGGGGCTACTTATGTGGGGATCAGGCAAAGACAATCAACCATCTTTTTTTTGCATTGCAAGTTCACTATTCAGATATGGAGGTGGAGGATTTTCATTAGTCTAAGGGGAATCCCATGGGCAATGCCGGGAAGAATCCTTGATATTCTAGCTAGCTGGAATAAAGAGGGAGCACTTCCGAGAGACAAAGAGAGATGGAGAATTGTCCCAGCTTGTATATGGTGGACAGTATGGGAAGAGAGAAACCAAAGATGCTTTGAAGAAAAGTTCAACAACATTCAGAAGATAAAGATGAAATGTGTAGCTCTTTTTTATTTTTGGTGTAAAGGGAAAATTTTGGAGGATCATGAATCCATTTTAGATGCCCTAGATTCATTGTAAGAAGAACAAGGGTAAACAATGTCCTTTTTGTTTAGTTTTGTATGGACACTCACACTGTAATATTGGGTGACTTCACAATTTCAGTGTAGTCTTTATATTAATATACAAATTGTTACCTTATCAAAAAAAATGGGATTATGCTTGAGATCAGAGCTAAGAAGTCATCCACTTGTTGTATATTCATGTCTTTCTTACACCAAATGAGAATAAACAGTTTGTGGATTATCCACGTTTATCAAAAGTCTAAACTCGAATATTTTCTTAAATCAATTTGTACCTGTGTACCATACCTTCTACAACAACAACCATAACAAACATGCCTCAAACCAAATCTAGTTCGGGTTGGCTCACACCAGTAGAATTGTACCATTCATTCTAGCATATATCAGGTGTGGTTAGGGGCATATTTTTAATCAGTTTTCTTTTGGTTTGCAGCGTGTCCCCTGGAATTCAAGCAACCGTTAGAAGTGATCAATGCCTGCAGAAATTTAGCCGCTCCTAGTCCTTCATGTTGTAGCTCATTAAATGCCTATATTGCTGGGATGCAGAAGCAGATGTTGATTACAAATCAGCAAGCAATTATGTGTGCTGCGGCATTTGGTTCTATGTTACAGAAGGCAGGGGTCATGACAAATGTTTATGAGCTTTGTGATGTTGACTTGAAAGACTTTAGTCTTCAAGGTGATTGTTCATTTTTTAATTTTGTTTTTTAATCGCTTGTTGATTTCTATTGTTTTTATCTGATGTTCGCTTTCTTTGTGATTGGCGTCTGATTGCAATGGAGCAGCATATGGGCAAGAAGGTACTAACTCTATTATTTTGTATGCTTTTTCATTCTCTGATTTGCTGTTAATAAATATTTGCCCGTTTTTCTTTCTTTAGCATAAAACACTCAATTTTATAAATTTTCATACGAAGATATTTGGATATAAGTTGTTATTTCTTTTAGAAACTCTGAACTAGTTATGCTATTATACATATCAGTGATTTCAACCAATATAAGCTCCTAAAGAACTTGGAACTTTTAGATAGATTGAGAAATTGCAGTTTTGTTACTGTTGTAGGACTCCGTCTTTCCATCTGCCATAATGGTGTAATAAAGATTGTATGGGCTAATTACCCAGTACTTGTGTTGGTGGGAAGTAGCAGGTACTCGGTGGAATAGTTGAGGTGCGCGCAAGCTGGCCTGGGTACCACCATCATAATATTTTTCTTTTTTAAAATAAAGATATTATGGGCCTTCTGTATCTCATGCCGACGATAGTTATTACCTCTTCCCACAGCCCTGCAACTATTGTTTTATCTAACATTAGCATACGTTTAGTACTGTTGGACTGTCAGTTGAAATGAGTTTCTTTTTCCATTTTCTCGATAAACCGAATCTAAACTTTCAGCCCTTACTCTTAGTGACGAGAATATGAATAATTGCTCTATGGTATTGTACATATATCATGATACCTTAGAGCAGGTTCCCTACAGCTAGCTTACTGGTCATAATAAAGTGAGCATTCGCCTTTGATAATTAAGCTACTTAACTCTCTTGCACAGGGTTGTAAATAGCGCTCGCCTCAGCGCTAATAGCATGAGGCGATGCGAGCTTCCATCGCCATTTTACTCTATAGCGTAGCGTTTTCAAAGAGGCAAGCGCCTCTGCCTCTGTAGCTTGTGGCGACCTGTAGCGGCGTCGCCTTTTGCAAAAAAGAAAAGAAGGCAGCAGCAGCGCGATCTGCGATTAAAACAAAAAATTAGGGCTCGCGATTTCTTTACTCTTTCTCCTTCAAGTCGACAGCAGACCTACAACAGTCCCGCGATTTCCTTTCTTCTTCAAGTTTCTTCATCAGGTATGCTTTCTCTTCATCTCTTTTCTTCTTTCTTGTTCTCCTTTCTTCTTTCTTCGAGTTTCTGCTCTGCTCTATCCAATTTTTTTCTTTCTTTCTTCTTTCTCCTTTCTTTCTTTCTTCCTTTTTCTTCTTTCTTTTGTTTTTGGGCTCTGTTTTTGATCGCTGCTGCTGCAACAGACAGTCTGTTTTGCTCTGTTTTTTCTTCCTTTTTCTTCTTCTCTTTTTTTTTTTTTTT